GGGAGGGTTAAGGAGGTAGGGTGATTGAGTGAATTATTGTGTATCTGTCACTGGGGAAGGTATAGGAAATATGTTCAAGGAAGAATAGAGATAGCTGTTGAAAAGGAAAAGAATCCAGGGGTAGGGGAAGGTGTAAGGTGTCAAAGATTAGAGGGTGTTAAAGGAAAGTATGGTAACGAAAAGCAAAAGGAGGGAAGTAAATGAAGTAGAACAGTAATTAGTAAATGGGAAAGGTTAAAGAGGTAGAGCAATTAAGTGAAGTGCATTGTATCTTTGACTTGGGAAGGAATAGGGATAATAGGTGATAATGTAGCAAGGGATTAGGGATAGTGGGGAAGGATGGGATGGTGGGGGGGGATTGATTTGGGTGGTATGGGTGGTTTGGGAAGCTGAGAGGATGAAGTATGTGGAAAAGAATGGGGTTTTGGGGGAGATTTTGGTTTGGGTGATTGAGAAGATGAGGTATTTTGGGAAGGGGAAGGGGGAATATAAGGAGGTAGTGTTACTTAGTGCATTGCAGTGTATCTATGACTGGGGAAGGAATAGGGACATTGTTCAAGGAAAACAGAGGTGGCTATTGGAGGAATAAGAGAAGAATCAAGGGAATGAGAAAGGGGGACTGGGGAAGTCAGTTAAGTATCAGGAAGAATGTCTGGAGGGGAGGGAGAAGGACACTGTTGTGATAGAGAAGATTTGTGTGAGTATTCAAGTGGAAGTGGTAGAGAGGGTGGGGTATGTTGGGAGGGTGTAGGAGGAAGGGGGGTGGAAGGAATTTGAGGAGGAGGAGGATGGATATCTGCACATAATTCAAATGTAGTAGGAGTAGGAACAGAGGGATTGGGGGGTGGATGAGGGAGTGGAGTGTTCCTTGGGTCATCTTTAGAAAGTTTGGGATGTCTTCAAGAGTTTCTAGAGGGGAGTTGGGTAACGAGGACTGAGAAACAAAGGTTCTCTAATATGGAGAAGAGGAGATATCTGAGGAACAGATGAAGAGGAAGGTGTAGGAGAGAATGTAGTAGGAGAGCGTGGAGTGGAACGTTTCGGTTGCCTGGTATGACAACTAAAGTGAGGAAGAGGGGTAGGTATTGGGGAAGTAGTAGAGATTGGAGTATCTGGATTTAGAATGGAAAACGAATTTAACTGGTGGATAGGGCAAGTAGACATAGGACGTAGGTTTAGGGTATAGGGGAGAGATACCTGGGGAGATGCAGTAACATCTTGTGAAGATGGAGGGGGAACAGAGCGAAGGACTGTTTTGGAATAAATTGAGAGAGAAAAACCTCGTCTTCATGCTTCCTGTCTGGCCTCATGTAGAGTGAGGCCTAGTTTAAATCTGAGGACTGCTACCTCACATTCAAACTTGTAGGCAGGGCAGCTCCTATACAATACATTATGGGAGTCTCCACAATTGGCACATGACTGAGCAGGGCAATTTGAACGGTATAGACTAGGTTGGGCACATAGAAGGCAGCGGGCTGTGGAGTGACAATGTTTGGCTGGGTGGCCAAAACACCAACATTTCTAACACTGATGAGGAAGAGGTCAATATTGTCGGACATGATAAGACAATCCACCAATATAAACCTCATGAGGGAGGTCTTGTCTGTGGAAGCTAATCTTGGCAATATTGATGTGGGATTTACACTGGCCTCTGGGAGGAAGAGTGTAACATTGTACTGCCACTACATCATATTCAGAGGGGTAGGAAATTAGAATAGAAATAGTTCCAGTACAAGTATTAAAAAAGGGGTGAGGTTTGGCAGGAATGGGTTTACCAGTAAGGTCAGTTAGGGTAGATAGTGCACGAGCTTGGGATTCAGATGTAACTGGGACAAGGTGTGAACGATCAGAGCAACTGCGAAAGATAACCTTGCCTACTTGTTTCTGGAGGCACTGTTGAAAGAGAAGGGTATTCTCAGAATAGGGAGCTGTGGCGGGAAATCACAAAGAATCAATCCCACTTGGCTGGGCCAAACAGAGTACTCAGAAAGTTTGCAGAGGTAGAGGCAGTAGAGGGACGTGGGCGAGAGGAAGATGATGGTGTAGAGTGGAGTAGTCCTGTAGGGGGAGGACAATAAGGATGAAGATTAGTAATAAGGGAAGAGGGAATAGACACTGAAGAGGACTGTGCGGCAGAAGATGAAAAGGAGAATGTTGGGGAAGAGGAAGGGGTGCTTTCTAGAGGTTCAGTAATAATCTGGGTGGGTGTTTTGGAATGGTTAGTGTTGTTCGTAAACGTTGAAGAGGGGGTATTAATACCAGTGGTTGGAGCTGTGGCTAAAGGAGAGGCAGGGGTCTGAAAACCATCAAAATCAAATTCAGATAGGCTATCTGATGAAGGGGCAAGCCTTAATGCCCCTATTAATGATAAAAAATCTTCATTATTGACCATGGTGAGCCTGAATAAACTAGGGAAAAGAAACGGTCTACCCATCAGGGTGCCCATAAGAAGTAAGGGCTAGGCAATTAACCACGGGAATATTGTGCCCATGCCTCCCGGAGGCCATTCGTGACTGATACAAAGTCAGCCTTTCATCCTTTCAGCACGTCTCACACCTTAGGAATGGGATAGAAGAAGTGAATAAAGAAGATACAGAAGAAGAAAGAAGGGAAGAAAGGACCAAGTAAAATAAAATGAGGCGAGGCTTGAGGCCCAAGGTAGGGGTAATCCCTTACATTGGATCTCAGTCCTCGTCTCCTAAGCCCTCCCACGACGACAATGACCTAGGTATTGGGAGGGAACCAGGTCAGGTAGTCCTATCTGTAATATATACCCTAAATCTCCTATGGCACTATGACTAAAAGAGTCAGGTAAATCACTCACCTCGGACAGAGAAACGCATTAGCGATAATTTCTACACAAAATAACAGAAAGTACATAATGAAGGTTGGTACAGAAGGGTTAGGGGTTGCTAACACAGTAAAACCATTGAGCAGGAAAATGTTTCTCAGTAATAATGTGTAGTGTGAGTGGTGAGGGGGGGTTGGTTGGATATTGAGGCAGCCAGTAAGTTGTTACTCTGTCAGATGTGACTGTGAATGGTAAATTCACCATATATTATGCCTTACCTCGATCCCATCCTCCTCACCCCAAGGCCTGAAAATATCTTATCTCAATGCAATGTTCAGCTATAAACAGCCACCATAATCTATGAAATTTAATTTATAATAAATGCTTGCCAAAAGTGATAGTACAAGTAAACTATAATAGCTTTTTGTATTTTATGTAATAAAGAAAATTACCTGAACAGAAGCATAGAAGTGTTCATGGTTAAAGATGCTCCCTACAGTCCCGTAATCATGGCCAGCTTTCTGACCTAACTTGTAGACATAACGGCATCCTACCAAGAACAATAAGGAGAGTCTGAATTTACACATGACTAATTAATGCATACAACCTATATTGAATATAATAATCAGAATCCTAGATCTTAGCATTTTCTTTTCATTAGGAGTAAAAAAAACATGGCTATAGAAAACAGAATACAAGTGTTGATGGTCGTTTCAGCCAATTTTACAATATGAAAGATGAGAATGGGACATGCTTCTACATTCTCATCCTTTGGCCTGTTATTTGAAATCTGTATTCCTTGAGGGAGGCTAAATTATATATTCACTCAATCTTACTTTATAGCTTGTCTAATTTTCTATTCAGTCCAGAGAGATTTGGGAAACTAAATCTTGTATATCCAAGTGTGTAATTCATGGAAAAAAAATCTGCCAGACAATTTGCATGGGAAATTGACATTTTTGTTCATTATTTTTGAGAGAAAGAGTGCATTTTTTTTGTCATAGGAATTTGATATTTCTACTGCATTTAGTTGGTAAAGAAGATGAAAAAGAAGAAGAAAAAAGTATCTGTTACCTGTTGAGGACTCCCAGAAAGTAATAGCAGTATATGGTCCACGGGTCATGACCCAGGTGTGTTGTACACCTGAACTGAATGTACCAACACACACCCAGGCATCCAAACCAAACCCAAGAAGGAGACTACAAAGTAAACTACATTTGCTTTCCACATTCTGTAAATCAATCAAATATTAGGGTAAAATATAACATCACACAGAACTTCTTACTACTAATAAAACTATCACCTAATGACCATTGGATATAATTCTTCTTTGCTATGCCTATGTTAAGTCCTAAAATTTTGTCTTGGAAAAGCCAACAGTATCATGAGGTCCTGAATACATAAATAGTACAAATGGAAGAACCAACAAGCCCTTATGCCCTCTTTACATAATTAATTCTTCATATATACAATCAATTAAAGTGTGTGTGTGTGTTCTCCAGGCTAAAATATGCCAAAGTCAGCCATCCCAGAAATGATCATAAGTTGGATGGAAAAAGAGTACATGGATTAACTCCTGAGTGCCATAAGGTCATTGCTCCATCTTATTTTTTGTGTGCACATAGTGAGAGGAGTATTACAGACAAACAGGTCTTTCATCAATAATAATAATAATGATAATATATATATGTGTTAACAGACTATATTTGTTATAATAATGAATCTCTTTATGTTGATAATATGTGATGGTTTCATATGAAAAAAAAAGAGAGAAAGAAAGAAAGAAAGAAAGAAAAAGAAAAAAAAAACTACTATGGTCTAACTTACCAAACTTTGTGCCATGACAGATACAGGAAGAGTGTACCAGTGACTACTGCGATCTGCAGGCATTTGGTGTACAGGTTTGGTTGGAATAATACTAACCCAACGGGCTGCTTCTTCCGGGGATCTAAGAGCATGTCCTGCCTCTAACTGACGCACATACTCGCATACAAATCTATATGAATTTGCAGAGACAATTACCATCTGGCAAGATTGTAGTAGTAGCTTCAACTTTCAATATAAGAATAATTACCACTTTTCTACTGCAATTTAAGGACTAGAAAGATTACTTGAAATATAAAGCTTTTACCATTATTGTAATACTGTAAAAACTCTAATACAAGCATTCTTAATTATTACATTACTCATTAACTACCATTGTTAAAATAAAGAAAAAACACCAACCTATTTCTACCATTTTCATCCATGGCAAATATCCTGACAGGTCTTGATGCAAAGTTTGTCCCAGCCTCTGTGTATTCTCTCCACCACTGTCGAGCATAACTAATGAAAAGCCGACGTCTCTCTCCAAAGCAAGTGTTGACTTTCTCAAGATATGTGGAGACAGCAGAGCCAGGTAGACAGGAATCAACTGATGGTATCAAAGAAACGTGGATATCCAGCAAGCCTACAGGTATCTGTTCATTTCCTGAAAAAAGGGGATCTTGAAACTTATGACTGTACACATGCCAAAAGAATACACATATACTATCAGTCACACACACATATTTTATATATATACATAGCAATATATATATATATATGTATATATATATATATATATATATATACATATATATATATATATATA